AGACATATACTAGTGTGGATGTATTATTTCTTAATTTTTCAGATCTGAAAAGTATTGTTAGGACTTTCAATGTTCAACAAAAAGCACCGCTACAACAATACCCTATGCCATGAGTCATAAAAACGATCCAGTCTTTACCATGATATGTTAAACAGCTGTCAGCTATCCAAAGTCAGAACTTTTCCCATAGTTTTCTGAAGTATTTGAACTTTTCTGAGTTTATCAGGGAAGCGCCATATGATAATATACTCTTAAAACCACAGAGATTTTGAGGACCCACTACCAAAGAAATGTGCCAGCACAGTGAAAAAGAAATATGAGGCTCTCTTGATGTCTGAGAAGTAAAAAATGGGGTAACACACAAGCAATACTGATGTGAGATACAAGTTATTAACCCTACTGTATTGACTTTGTGAGCCTGATACAATTTGCTCAACATCTGAAAGTAATTTGGATAACAATGTGTCCTTTACAGGATAGGCTGGGAGTGAACTGGATAAAAAAATAGAGTTTTGGATTTTCATTTATTTCAGTTTTATTTTGAGTGTTTTTCTCTAGATGCAGTACAGCCACCATCGGTTCTTCAAAAAATTGTAAGTTAATTATAAAGTGATGGTGGGCCACCGTGCAAGCCAGAACCTGTAATTCCTTTTGCCAGTTGCCTTTCATTAGCAAAAGCATCGCTCCCACCCTTTGAAAAAGCTGCTTAATTTGTAGAGGTTGTGTGTTTTCCAGGATAAGTTAATTCATCTCCAACTAGTCAAACACCACAAGTAACACTTTCTTAAGAACAAAAAGGCTTTAACTCCTCAAAATTTTCTTCTATGTAAGATAAACAAACAAAAAATTGGTTTCATTTTATAAAAAAGTTTCTAATAAGATTGTCCTGTTTCAGACAATATAAACCAACTTTTAAGAATTTAAGCCTGTTAAAATAGAGCATGCTTATTCTGTAATCTACCCCCTGAACAAATATTAGCTTATTTTGAAATATCTATAGGGACAAATTTAGCACATTTTATTTAAGAGAAAAGCAGGCAAAAAATCCCAAAATAAACACAAACGCTTAAATGTAGGGCAAAAATTGAGACCTGTCTCATCAGAAACTATCTAATTACTTCGTGCTCCAGTGCAGGACCAGGTCATGGTCCCTCTCTGTCATTGACAATGGGACTTTGGGAATGGACTTGACTCAGCAAACTGAATCCTACAGTTATTTGTGCATTCTGTCTTTAAAGGTCCAAAGATATGCCCAGACTGCATTCAGAAACAATTAACAACAGCAGGCATGAACTACACATCATGAACAGTGGAAGTGTTGAAGACTCTCTGAGTTTACTAGCCTAAATCCTAAGGTGATAGATTTTATCCAGGTTCCTTGGTGTACTAAAGTCAGGCTTTGAAGAAGCGGTGTAGACAAATATAATTTTATAGAACAGAAATAATGGAAATGATTGATGGCATACTTAGAAAAAGTGTTTCTTGAGGAAACAGGATTTATTAACCTTTCATTTTTGTGACCACAAAATGTCTTACTTTTATAAAGCACCAACAACAATCTCTAGTACTAAGTATCCCCCTACACTGTAAAAATCAGTGGGAGAAAATCCAAAGGGCACATTTACTAACGGAAATTTAAAAAAGTCTATAATATAGCAACATATAAGTTGATGAGATATATATATTCTGTGACAAGGCTGTCAAAACTGACTTGAGATTATCCCATTAGAATTTCATGCAGTCCGCTAATGCATCATTATTATGAGTTTGCATCAACTTTGGGTTTACAAATAAGTTCAGCTGGTAAAAGAAATACAGCCAAACTCAGCTGTATAATATTCAGTTACATGCTTACCATGAACTACCTTTGCTTTCAGGACTGTGCTGACTACATTCAAGTGTATGCATACCCTTTGCAAAAGAGAATGGAAAAGGTCCGAACAGTCTTGCTAAGAGAGGGGAGAAGGCAATTTCAATAGGCAAACAATGATTTTGTTGAGTATATGTTACAAACTGACCAACTGAGACACTTGCCTGATAAAGCAGGTTTCTGCAGGGTCTGAGGTCAGCAGTCTCTGAGGCACATTTTTTCCTAAAGAGAAAAAAAACCAAAAGAAGAAAAGAGAAAGTAGATATTCTACTTTTTCTGATGGAATCATGTTTTGCAAATTAAAAGTAATGCAGCTGCAAACAACAGGTGCAAGGCTGTGAGGGAAAATAATCCAAAATTAATATACCATTCTACTAGGAAAAAAAATATCTCAAATAATTTTTCTCCTGAGTCCAAAACCACATGAATGACTTGGAGCAAGAAGACATGCAATGCCCTGTTTAGCATTACTATTCTGAATATCTGCATGGGCGATGTATGACTTGTGTAAAACAATTCCTAACAAAGTTTTCCACCACTTTGTAAGGCAAAACCATACTGAAAGGTACAGAGTTTTGAACAAACCAGAGGGTGGAACTGAATTCATATGCAGGTAGGAGCATGAGAAAGAGCTTGCGCATGCCTTCAGCTTGGATTCCTGACTTTCCTGGTCAGGCAGGAAGAAAAAGAAAATACTGTCACTTCATTATAATAATGTTTACTGGAATATAGTAGTACTTCAGCTAAGCATGAGGAGGCTTCATATCTCTCTTAGGAAAGGTGCCCAGTGATTCCTTGTTGTAGAAAGTGCTACCTCCATACACAACCTCATATCTAAAACAGACAGCAAGGCAAAAAAGTAATACAGTATTTGTTTGCGTCAACAAAATACAAGCTACACCTCGTGGCAATGGGCAAAGCAGAGTGGGAAATGAGACACAGAGAAAGATATGATAGAAAAGCTTAAACCATATAATGTACCTGTGAAAGCTGTCAAAAGTACCAAACATGTTGCTTAAAGCACACATTAAAACTTGGAATGGAAAGCTGGTAGTTGTGCAGTTCTCTAAAACTTTAAATTCATCCTGAAACTGAAAGTTACCCTTAAATGAAGACAGATTTTGTTTATAACTTATAGAGCAGATTATACAATGAGATCAGTAAGAAAGTACTTTCCTGGGAACACTTGAAACTTTTCATAGCTCCTACAATACTCTACAGTTCAAAAGAAGCTCACATAAAGGGAGCATTTAGCTTTTCTCCATGTTACTAATTCATTAAATTGAAAAAATGTGAGAAAAGAGGGAAAACAGTGGCAGTTTCGCATCTGTGACCCTTCCTGTTTATACAGCCCTCCACTGTTATCAGAGCTTTGTGCCTGCTCGTCCATGTCATTGCATGCCAGGCTCATTGCCAACTGATAGGGAACTGCAGAACTTATCACGATGCCACACACTCTCATTGCAAACTTCAAATAGTCCAAAATCCAACACACTACTGTGTGAGAGAGAAAGAGTTGCTTGAACTCCTCAGGTGACCCATTTGCAGCATGATGGAGAGTTCCTCTGGCTGGGGCATGGCAAGGATGCAGGGGCACCCTGGCCACAGACAGACTCCTTGTTTTTGAGATAAAAAATTAATTAATTACCTAAAGAATCACACAGAACCAACTAGGCTGGAAAAACCACTGAGCTCATCAAGTCCAATCTAAGACTGAACACCTCCCTGTTAACCACACCATGACACCAAGTGTCATGTCCAGTCTTTCCTTGAACACCCATTGGGATGCTGACTCCACCACCTCCACGGGCAGCCCATTTCAATATCTAATCATCCTTCTTCCTAGTCATCACTTGCTACTAGTTCTAAGCAAGTAAGTCATAGAATTGTAGAATGTTAAGAGATTGGAAAGAACCTTAAAGATCATCCAGACCCAACATCCCGATGCCACAGACAGGGACACCTCTCACTAGACTAGGTTGCTCAAGTCTTATCCAAACTGGTTTTGAACAGTGCCAGGGGTGGGGCATCCACAACCGCCTTGGACAACTTGTTCCAGCACCTCAACACCCCTGACAGTAAAAAACTCCTTCCGGCTACCTAGCCTAAATTTCCCTTCTTTAAGTTTAAACCCATTACTCCTTGTCACTACAGTTCCTAACAAAGAGTCTCTCTCTGACTTCCCTGCAGAGCCCCTTCTGATACTGGTAGGTTGCCTGTTCATTAAATTTACTACAGCAGAGCTTCGTTGAAAAGAAGCTAACAAGTCATTGTCTTGTCCAAAAACAGAGGAGAATGTCGCCAAGGCTGCTCCATACACAAGTCAAGCCACACTAGATACTAAGACTATGATATGTCTGTGAGTTCAGGGTCATTTCCCACTCCAAAAGGAGGAAAACTTTGTAGGGGCTGCTTCAGTCACAAACAGAAGGAAGTCTGCGGGTGAAAGGTCATTTTTCTACTCCAAAATGAGAGAAAAACCTTGTAGGGGTCACTCCACCCAGAAGCCAAGCCACATTCCACACCAATATGGGTAACGCCTGTGGTACACCATCCTCACAAAGCCACACTGCCAGCCCCGCCGGACACTCTCCTGAGCAGCTCCTCTGCGCCAAGACACACACACACACAAACACACACACACACACACAAACACGCACACGCACGCATACACGCACACACACACACATACACGCACACACACACGCGCACATACACACATACGCACACACACACAGACACACACAAACACACAAACACGCACACATACACACACACGTACACATACACACACACGGAGCCGGGGGAAGCACTGCACACCCCTCCTACCCGAGGGCCCGGCGGCGTACGAGGTGCCTCGGCGGGCACGCAACCAAGGGACTCGCGTCTCCCGGACCCTCCCCAGAGCCCCCTGGCCGGCTGTGAGGGGCGGACAGCCCAGCCCGGTGCGCTGCGGCCCCGCCCGCGCCCCAGCGGTACCTCAGCCACCGCTCGCCGCCGGCCTCGCGGCCCCGCCCCGTCCCCCCGACGCCGCCGGGTCGCGCTGCGTCCCTCGCCCCGCCCCGCGGCCGCCGGGCGCAGGCGCGCGCGGCCGGTCCGTCAGGGCGCGGTGACGTGTCGGCGCCACCGCCCGGCCCGGGACGGGGCGGGGCGGGACCGGCGGTACCGACCCGGCCGCGGCCCCACAGTCCCGCCATGTTCAACGTGGAGAGCCTGGAGCGCGCCGAGCTCGGCGAGAGCCTGCTCACCTGGGTGAGTGCGCGCTGCCTGCCCGCACCGAGTTGGGTTGCGGCTCAGGGTCGCGGCGCTGGGCGCCTCCCGCCGCGCCGCGGCTCCGTTCCGGTGATGGAGGACCCGCGGCCCGCACCCCGGCCGGGCCGGGCCGGGCCAGGTCGGCGGAGCCCCGGCGGTCCGGCCTTGCTTTGTTTATGTCTTATCTTGGCGCATCGGGGGTGCCTGGGCAGGGCCGTGTTCCGCCTCAACGCTGCCCGTGCAGCGGGGGAACAAAGGCCCGGGGGGCCGGCGCGGGAGCGCCCCCAGGTGCGCCCGGGCTGGGCTGGCGAGCTGCAGGCCGGGCTCACGTCCCTCCTATGCCGTCGGTGTGTCAGTACTCCGTTGTTCGTACCTGCCTGTCTCCCTCTGACCAGCAAGGCCGCCTTTCTGACCGGAAACTTGCATTTCCGCCTGTTTATTTTTCTCTGTTTTTTAAGCAGTGGTTAAGTCTCGAGAGACAGAATTCACCGATGAGGCCGAGGATTTTACAGTATCAGCCTAAGTGGTGATATATTTATTCCTGGAGGTGTTCAAGGCCAGGTTGGATGGGGCTCTGAGTAACCTGATCTAGCTGAAGGTGTCCCTGCTCATGGCAGGGGCATTGGAACCAGATGGTTTTCAAGGTTCTTTTCCAGGCCAAACCCTTCTATGATTCTATGATCTTATGATAAAAATTACTTTATACTACTTTAATGTTTGTAGTTTTTCCCATAAATGTCTCTTGGTTATGCTGTCACTCAAAGAGCAGCCAAAGTATAGTGGACATCAAACCTGGCTTTGCAGCTACCTGTAGTCTGATCAATGACCATAACACAGACGTGGGACTTAACTTTCTGTAGTAGCTGAGTTATAATTGGTCAGTTGTTTGAAACCTCTGGATTTTGGTTTGAGGCTGGTTTGGATTTTTTCCCTTCTATACTCAAAATTGCCAAGTAAATACCTAGAATATGAAACTCTGTAATACAACTGATTGTTAACTAGAAACAGAAATTTTCAGATATTTTTTTCTATGAGAAGCCAGAGCTGACTGAAGCTCTGATGGTGATGAGTAAGTTCCTGGGGAATAACAGGTTAGATTTATCAATGACAGTCAGAAAGGATGAGCAAGGGAAATAATTTATTGTTAGAGGTGAGCACATGGCCTGGCAAGTATAGAAGATGACAATTTTGGGGAAGAGGTTTTCGGAGAAGTGCTTCACGTAGGTCTGCAATAAGTCACTGAGTTTCACTTTCCTTCACATTCCTGCCAGCTTTTCCATATTTGTTATGGACAAGTGTTGGCCCCTTATTTTGCTTTGGGCTTTCCATGCTTTCTCTTTCAGGTGTGGGGAATAAAAAGTCCCAATATGAGTAAGTTGATATGTGTTAATACTGGCAAAGAAAAGTTGAGTGAGAGGCTGCAGTCCTGAGGCTGTGCGTACCCTGTGCAGCCTGGTCCTGTCTGTAGAAATGGTCCACACAGGTGCCTTTACACTTCTCAAATATTGAGCTAATGAGGAGACTAGCTGCATCTCTTTTGGTTAGCAGAAATAAATAATCTTAAACAGCATTTGAATGGATCAGCTTTATTCTGAGATAAATGTATGAAGTTACAGATTATTGTACAGTTTTGTCATTTATGTGAGAATGTGGCTTTGAAACAGATTCAGTAATAAAAAAAATGAAGAAAGGTGACTTTACTTTATTCCAGCATACATGAAACTTGCAGAAGAGGCGGTGAAGTTTTTTGTTCCTCAGTGAAACTGACTGTGTATAAAGAAGATGCTTTCTTTGTTTGACTTTCTCTCAAGTCCCCTAATGATTCTTGGGAAACGGTTCATTTAGATAGGAGGGTAGAGCTGTCTTAATAACAGTGTATGCACATCTGGGAAGGGCAGTCATTTCCCATTATGCCAGGGAAACTGGCTGTTTAGAACTGGTTTTGCCTCCCAGGTTGCTTGCTTAACATTCATACAGAAGTACTTAAACTGGTTTGTCTGTGTTTTGAATAGATAAGGATTTCTCCAAGTCTGAGAACCTGTTTGGCCTAAAATGACTGTTTGCTCAGATGGATATAGGGTGAGAAAAAAGTGTTCCTCCCTCTACCAACTAATGATTTTAATTAAGGAGCATATCACTTAGGCTTTTTTCCTACATACCTGTGATTTCTCTTCTGCTGTCTTTAAGCTGGAGCAAGCTTCCTACCTCTGAATATGTTTTGGTTTATTTTTTAATATTCTGCCAATACCCATTTTTGTTGTTAGGCTTTGGCTCTAGCTAACTTCTTGTTTATTTTTCACTTCTCTGACAATGCCATCAAATGGCTTCCTAAGTAATTTTTGTTCAGGATTTTAAACAGCTGAATGAGTTTTGACTTAATACCACTTTAGCAGGTGACCCTGATATTGTTTTGAGACAGCCACAGTAGTGGCAACTTGAGGAAAACTGAACGAAGGACTGGAGGCCAAGTACTGGCCTCTCAAAACTGATATTTGCACTTTGGCAGTATTAGCAACTTACTATAATTGTAGAATTGTTGCTCTACCAAAAATCTCCCACAAAACTCCCTTTTGAGACTATCCCACGCACTATGGGATTGTTGTCCAAGATGCAGTTCAGCCAAGATAGTTTATAAAAATGCATCTGTGAGGTAAACTACAATAATACTAAAGTTGTTTCAATGTATCTAACAGAGATTGACAACTTCTTTTTCTGTTTAAAGTTAAGACTTGTTTATGTATGAACACATTGGGTTTTGGTGTTTGGTTTGGGTTGTTTATTTGCGTGTGTAGTGTCAGGAGCACTCTCAACTTGGATACATAGCTGAGGCATTTCATAAAATGTGGAGAGCCGCCAAACATGGCTGTGCCAATTACACTTTAATGTGTATGAAATCATTGTGATAGCTACAGGCTCTTGCTGTGTAACCTGAGAAGGTTTCTTTTCTAGCGTAGAACTGAGATATGATACTGTAAAGATTGCTTAGCATTGGGATGTAAACAAAGAGGCTGCTGCTAAGGTGGTTGTAAGTACCAAGTTGGTGGAGATGTCATAAACTTTCTTTCATTGTGATAAATATCACTTATTTTAGTATGTGCTGCCTCCACCAAACTGCATCTTGCCTGTTTTCTTTCTTTTCCAACCCTCAAGGCTAAATAGAGTTTCTGTTAAAACTTTAGCGATAAGTGAGAACTTTCTGAACATTGCAAGTCTCCTGTTTCAGCATGCTCCACCTTTTAAGCACTTTGGTTATTTATATTGACCTTTCTCTCTTTTTGGCTGAAAAATTTCCTCAGTACAGTGTATCTCTGTTTTCTGTGTCATGGCCTATCCCCAACTGTAAGGATTTATCTGTAGTAGTATGAAGTATAGAGACCAACTACTGAAACAGATTCCTCAGAACGGCTGCTTGCAAATGCTTGATAGGCACTCTAGTCAAAGAGGAATTACTAGGGGAATCTACTGGGAAGGCTGTTTTTCCTCTCCATCCAGTTATATTCTTTTTAGATTACACTATTATGCCGTTCTTGATCCTTGTGCATTTGCACATTTAAGTAATTTTCTGGTTTCTTGTAGATGCCAAGATTGTAGGCAACTTGCTGTCCCTGTTTAAATTGTTTCTTCTTCCACTCCTTGGCCACTGACCACAAAGTCGTAGAGTTTCGTTTACTTCTGATAATGTAATTGCATCACCATGTCTTACCTCTTGAAAAAAAAAATTTAGGAGAGGTTGATTGTGCTGATGATGACAGGGAATCAAGAAAACTATTCTTTTGAATACAATGTGTTGTTGTTCAGAGGGCAAAACCACTTGAGCTTGTCTGCAATCGTGGAATATGGCTTGAGGAACCTTGCAGATCACAGCCCTTGCAACTAATATGAAAGGCCAGTAAGCTGAACAACCTTTTTTTATATTTTATGACCTCTCACTAAGATAGTCAAGAATCTGTTGCTTCAGCTTTTAAAGGGATAGTTGTCTATGACTGTAATATTCTGTGTGTAACATTCATCATGTTTGAAGGAGCTGGAATGTCTAGCACCATTATTAGATAAGAGTGATTTTTTTTAACATATTGCTGAGAAGTCAGGCAGAAACAGGAATTTCTCTTCAAGATTATATTGAAGAGCAAGTGATAGAAGGCTGATGATATAGGAATATAATAATTAAAGGTGATAGGGTATGGTTTGTATATGTTCCCTGCCATTTTCCCCCCAATTTTTAAGTCAGTCTGACTGAACAAAGAATCATCTGGCATCATTGCTGGCATCATTCATCATGCATGCATTTTGACACTGTTAGATTTTCATTCTTTGGGGCCTTGTCCCACATTCTGCTTTTTTCCCTGTTTTCTCCTTCCTGAAGAGCTGTTCTGTACAGTATATATTTACAGTAAGTTCTCTGAAGGAAAAAGACATTTCCATGGGATTTAGTATGTGCTCAATTTCAGCTTCCAATTCTGCCCCCTCATCTTTTGGTGAGGGGTTGTGAGATGTTGGTGGAAACGAAACAGACTTTGCTGCTGGGAACTATGAACCTTAGAGAGTGTAAAGGAAACAAGTTTTCTGTTAGCTTGTTAATCTCAAAGTGGGAGGTGTGGAGAGAAATCTGTTTCTGTCTTCTCTGAAATACTTAAACACAGATGTTTTAAAGAGATTAAGTTAAACTGTGAAATTTGCACAACTCTCTTAATTGTGATATTTTGGGGCTTGTAAACGTTGAGATTATCTTCTGTCCTTCTGCTCTTCACGGACGCTAGAAATCTTTGCTACAGTGTGTAGACATTCAAGTTGAGCCTTGGGTCTCTCCTCTCTCCCCTGTTACACAATTGCACTTTCTGCTCTCTCGTTTTGGCTGACTCTTTAGCGTGGTCGTCTAGAAAGGTGTTTGCCTAAATTCACATTATTAAGTGCCCCAGCTTCAGAACCTAAGTCTGGGGTTTTAAAATCAATTTAATTTGCAAGTCCTAGCGATTTATTAGAAAAAAAAACCCCAAACAACA